AAGACACAAACAGCCACACACCGGCGTTTCTGTGAATATTCTGCTCAAGTAAAATCTATGAGTTGACAGTCTGCAATCCATCAGAGATGTGCTCCATTTGCCTGAACCATGCAGGGTGATTAGCGACAGACATCCAAGCTSTCCATGGGTGCGGATCACTCAATGGCTTCAATTTGTAATTCATCACAAAGTTGACCGCATCCATGAAGCAAACAACACAGCCCGGATGCCATGAAGTAGGGCCCGAAGAAAAAATTGAGAATCTAACAGACAAATCTAGAGGTTAGATTGGGTGGACTGACTGCTCACGGGGAGAACTTTGAATCCATTYTATCTCAACAGAACCGGGTTCCTCCATATACACAGCAGGGTACAGTGGCATATCACACGRAAGATTAAGATAGGCASCAGGATAATCTCCGGTGTGATCGAGGTACTGCTTTACTGTACTGGAAAAACTCARCGATCGCTTGGTCATGTCTAATATCACAACCATAGCTTCGCTGAACTTTTTKCCCTGAGGYGAATCCAAAAATGTCTGTTCGCATTCCTTGCCACCACTTGTTTCAAGGTCACCATATAAGAGCCAGCAGTCTTTCTCTTTTGCCAGGCCAAAACCATCTGATGCAGTTGCTGAAATAACACCAGCGCCAAGATTGTCACTCGATGTTTCTGAGTCCACAGAGAGCCTCCATATGTGCAAGCCACTGCGAAGGGGTAACTGAAGTGTTGCAGTGTTCATGTCCTTTTCATGTATACGCTCAATTTGCTGTGGCAGCTGCTCTGAAAGCACGTAGCTGGATTCTGGATCACGGGGCCATAGAGATGGGAGCGAGACATCAGCATAAGCACGRCAGATTTCACCTCCGGGTGATTTCACTGGTCTAAATGAGACTCTGGGACTTAGAGAACGCCACGGTGCTTTGAAAAAAGACTTTGTCGACAATCCTCGTGAAAAGCATATGGCATGTACTCTATAAACTGCAGCAAGCACCTCTGGGCGCACGATTCGCACTGGCTCGATACTCTTTCTCAGAAAGGAGGGATCATGAAATGCAAGGTTGATGTGACATTCCAATATTTCTTGCAAGTCGTCCCTTGACAGTGAGCCTACTGCAACACTGTAGCAGTTTTTCTCACCTTTTGAATAACTCGGCACTGCCTTCATTACGAAAGTTTTAGAGTCGTCAGACCCTTCAGCAGTGCAATCCCGCATGACAGACGCATTCTGCGCATAATCTTCCTCAACAGTAACACAATCGCCGCTGGATGCTGCAGAGAGAGCAGCCTCGGCCACCATCGTCTCCGTTACATTCGGATGGAATCGCACGTTCTCGAGGCAGTATACTATGCTCTCTTTCTTCCACTCATGGAATGACGTCGAATCAAATACCAAAACCTTGTTCATTGCTTCAACTGCAGCCTTTAGCAATTCCTCAGCATGCCTCGGGATCGCCKCATTTAGCAGATCTCCAAATTCACGTGCGTAAATGAGGTTTGGCACAAGGAGTAAGATCCTCYGGCATAAGAGATCGACCTGKTATTGCGCTGCCAGGCAGTACACGTCGAGCATTTCATCCCAGCAATTGTCGGCGTCCAATCTCAATCGATGACCATGCAGGTAACTGACCACAACCTGAAGACTGCTGGCCCTGGCAGCAGGGAGAGGTATGGTGTCCATCGAACTCTCCTTCATATCCCCATAAAGCAGTCTGGAAAAGTACTCACTCCCACTTGCCAGTAATGCTCGATTTGCCCGCACCTCTCTTCCATCTGTGCATACGAACGTGATGTCGAGCAATTCTGGACGACTAAGAATGGCCCGGGCCGCGGACAAGAACTGTTCGTCATGCTTTKCATCCTCCTCMTTTACCACTAGAGGCGACAAGGAGGGACACAGGACGGCYCCTCTGTCACTCAGCTTTCTCTTCTTTGTGGGAGGACCTCCTAGGGGGCACATTCTCTARAATCTRTCCAGTTCCCACCTCCWACACTACAGGTACCAAGCTTCTATTGAATTAAATATATACAGCAGACCTTCCGGCCCCCGGAAAGAAAGAAGGCCACAACCTATAAGACACAACCCAACCAAAAAACAAAAAACATGCCAARACCTCATTTGCACTAGGCTACCAGAGTAGATAGTAATACRGTACATGGAGAAAACACATGCAGTCAGTGAAAAGCTCATAGTAGAGACAATTCAAAAACGAAGATAGTCTTCTCAATCTGATAATAGGAAGAATTTTACCAGAGTAGCCCGGGACCACTTGTGCGGCCGGGCCAAAAACAAATAAAAAAATAAAAAAATAAAAATGAATTTTCAATTAAAAAAATATATATTTAAAATTT